TTCCGTGGAATGCACCTCCCGTGTTGAGCGCACTCTTCCCGCCATCCGCCTTCATTTCGGAGGTATACAGGGCGCTGTTCATGCCACACGGGAGCTTCGAGACGTCGACGTCGAAAGCCATCTCCTTGCCCGTTAGGTGCATCATTTCGTACCTCTCCTTGGACGAGTCGAGCAGGTAGACGCGTGGAGACACCTGGACGCCGTCCCGGAGCAGGTACATGGTCATGGCACCGCCGTCCGTGGTGACGCCCATGCGGCTGTAGTCGTCGAGGCCCTCCTGGACGCAGTTCTTGGCGCAGGCCTCTTTGGTAGGGCACGCCGTGGCGTTGGGCGGGTTGCCCCAGGAGCCACAGGACGCGCCGTTGGCCTCCTGGTAGACGTAATGCGCAAGGGAGTCGAGGACGATGAAGTTGCTGGCCTCGGTGCAGCCGCCAGCCTTGGTGCAACGCCACGTCTTCAGCGGCGGGTGGTTCTCGGCCGGTCCGACCTGGCGCTGGGCGGCTGCGAAGCCGAGGAAAAGGGCGGCCAGGCCCAAGCGGGAGACTCTTGAGGCCATGACGACTGGCTGGTGGTCAAGGTCCTTGAGGAGGACGGTCGCTTACACACCTAGTTAAGGAGAGGTAATGGCGGTGGCAGCAGAAGCAAGAGTACTCAGACTGGGACCACGAAGGGGCCCAGCCTGTATTATAGACTCACGTATGAACAGTTTCATCTCCATGTCTACTCTCAGCTGTCGGACGCAAACATTTTTCTCCTTTTCCGCTTCACAAACTCTTGCCAGGGAATGCGGCCAAAGGGGGCCCTCGCCCACGATACCACCCATGCGCGTTCCATCCTTGGCTTGCGGTTGCTTCTTCCTATTGAGTCGGATGGAACGTCACGTTCCGAAGCACCGCGTCGACGGCAAGGGTCGGGAAGGGTTAGGCAGATTGAGCTGTGAGGCTATCGGTCGCGGGAGTTCAAAGGTAGTAGAATGGGGCCCAAGTGACGCCATGCCGGCGTCCGTCCCGGTTCATGGACCTCACGGCAGAACGGGCCAGGAACCGCGCATGGGTGTGCTCTTGGCGCTTGCTTGGATCCAAGTCCGCCTCCCTTTCCCGAGCCACGCGGTCACACCTGCATCGAATGAATTGGAGAAGGGACAAGAAAGCGGGGAAGTGACAACAAGAGGTCAGAATTAGGGACGGCTCATAGTAGGTAGTAGTCGATGTTCCCCAGCTTTCCGCATTAACCCATCGCAGGGGCGCATGGCAGGGATTGATGATGGGGAGCGGATTTACTATGTGATTATCCAAAAGGGCTACTCCAGCCGCAACATTGCATGGACGAAATTGCTCCGGGGAGTTTGCTTGTCGAGAGCAAGCTGAGAAAGAAAATTGCAACACCACAAACCGCATGAGTCGAAACTTTGGGCGCCGTCAAGTATATTGATGTTGTCGAGCCCTCGAGGCTTCGTCACAATCTGCCTTGGAAGCCGTCCTACCAAGGTTCGGACCATGAAAGCCCGAGACCAGACTGGCCAATTCGGGCGAACCACACCTCAATCTCGCCGAGGCGAGGCGGCTGGCGACCGGAGAAAACATCCGCTTGCCTCCGTCCGAGTTCTTTCATGCTGTCCTCGCTCTGTCTCATCTGTCAACGTCTCTACTCACCCGCCCTTTGCCCGGCTCGGCACGCACACCACTTTCCGATGCTCTTCATCTGCTCGCTTGTCCCAGGGCCGGCGTCAGAATCCTTGGTTGGACAAGGGCAATGCAGTTGAGCTCTCTGCCTGGCAGACACACGCTGTTTATTGAATCACATGAAGGAACTGATGCCGCTTCGCACATTGCTGCAAGGCACACTGCTAGTCTGCATTTTCCCACACCCCTCTTCACGCGATTAATCCGCTAACGCGCGGTGTCGCTTACGGGCAATTGGTTCCGGCGGTCATCTCGTCATTCTTTTGCTCTTGCTGGACTGGATACAATAGGATACAATAGATAGAATCGTCGGCTATCAAATAATTCGTACACGGACAGGAAGCTAGCCATGTCTCTTCGTCCCTGCTCGAGCGGAGTCATTCCCAGTTACTCTTGATGACATCCACAATGACACCGTGGTCCTCGTCCTGCTTCAGCCCGCTCACAACCACGACAGCAACCACGCCCTCGACACCCTGCACACGGATCGGCACGCCGCCGCCGTGGATCGCGTACTTGCTGGCCTGCTCCGTGCTCATACCAGACTTTGACGCGAAGAGCTTCTCGTCGCCGCCCATCTTGTTGTGGAGCAGCCATGTGCTGCATCCCCACCGCAGCACGCTGTTCCGCTTGCGCTGCACCCAGACCTCGTGGTCGGGGAGGCTGCCGGGTCCGACGGACGCCTGGAAAAGGGTCTGTTGGCCGTTGGCCAGGGTGATGGAAACCAGCGTGGGCTTGCCGTTTCTGAGGGCGAAGGGGAGGAGGCGCGCGTGCAGGAGGTGGCCGAGCTCAAAGGCGTCTTCGTATGTGAAGGATGAGAGGGTGAAGGAGTCCCCGTCCTCCTTGAGAGCCTCGACCTGTGAGCGTTTGTCAGAGACCATTTTGCAGCACTGCGACGGCGGCCCGCGTCCTCCCTCTCAATACTCACATCGCGGGGCGGAGACGGGATGCTGACGGGGGCGGCATCGGGGCTCCGAACGGCTTGGAGAGACTTCTCCAGGCCAAAGCCTGCGGGATTCCGGCGCGTCCAGACTTTCTGGGACATGTTTGGCCGCTGCGAGGGTGCTCTCAGGCCGTTGAGGTATAAGTCGATGGCCGGTCTGTTTGTATTTGTGGGCGTTTTCTCTGGCGACTGACTTGCGACGGAGCCGGTTGACGATAAAGTGTCGTCACTGAGCTGAAGTTGACGTTCTTGTTAGTTCCTCCTCATTCCGTTGGCTGCTGCGGCGGCAGCGCTCTTGAACCCCCACCAGCAAATGGACAAAAATCCCTCCCCTCTCGGTTCGATCCCCTAGATTCCCAAAATTGTGGTTCCTCGCAGCCCACTTGGCGTTCCTTTCGACTCTTACAGTTGCCCCATCGGGAAACGGTGAAGGAGACTTACGGAGTCAGGAATCTCGTCTCGATGCGTGATAGGCTGCAGGACCGGTTGAGTGACGACTGCCGCCGCAACACTGCTCGGGTTGCGGCTGCCGCTGCCGACGGTGCTCATCCGGCCGCCCGTGCTGCTCTGCTTCTTCTTGGCCGTCTTCGCGTAGCGATGGAGTCCCCATTCCCTCATCTTGCGCTGGAAGGTCTTGCCGTTCACCTCGACGCCCTTGGCGGCGAGGCCCTTGATCATGCTCTCGACGGTCTCGCGCCGGTTAAACGCTTCGACGATCTCATCCTTATATGGTTCCAGGTCCAGACGGGGACGGCCAGGAGGCATTGCTTTGGCTGCGTGCTAAGCGGCCCTTTTTTTCTTCTTTTTTTTCTTCTTCTTCCACAATCCGAATTACTTTTTGGTCACGGGGAAGACGGAAGACGTGATGATGTGTGCTGCACGCTGCCGGCCACACCCCCTGATGAACGTCATTGCGAAGACAGCGTGACGCGATCCGGACTGGAGGCCGCGCGCGCTTTGGCCAATTTTCTGCGGGGATTTTTGAGGCATCTCAATCGGACAAATTTCCCCGGCAATAGTCCGGGCGAGGGAGGTGAGGTTCATGCACCCCCGCCCTGACCGCCTGTCACAGGAAGTTGGCACGAACGATATCGGGAAGGCTATATATCTACCTATATCACCCCGGTGACATTGCAAAACAAGTAAAGTCAAGCTCTATGAGGGAAGGAACGGTATGGAAAAGCGGATCAGGATTATTGAAACAAGACGTTTTACACCGTTGCAGACACTACATACATACATAGTATGAACTGAAACCGAAGTCTTTTTTACGGTTTGGGTGGGTTTTTCTTCGTGTTCCGAATCACAATATCACAGAAGTGCAATCGGGACAGGCAATCATTTCAAGATGCGCTCCCAACTTTGAATCAAACGCTTCCATGGAATCACTGCTAAACAGGTTCACAGTATCCCACGCATTCAATACTACAAAGGCTCCACAGTTACACCAACTCTCAATGTTAGATACGCGGGGATGGTTCACGTTCGAAAGTATTAGACTCACATCATGCTTTTTACAAAACCCTGTTACGTTGTCAGCAGCCCCGCATAGGAGTTGAACTCGATTGCAGTTGCCAAGGTAAATGAACGGCGCGGAATGCTGCTCGCTCTCTCCAGCAATGCCCGATAACTCGCCGTTGGCCGTCAAACAGTGCAGAGCTTCTTCGAGCTGTATAGTCATTATGCTTTGCTAGGCGTCTAGCCGAAAATCGCATGTCGATCAATCAGGAAAACCCATAGGTGACAAGACGGCCTCACTTCCATCATAGCCCCGCTCATGGTTGCGGGAAAGCCTTACCAACCGGGGCTTGTTACGTGGTCTTCTCAACTTCTTTCTTCTTCTTTTTTCTTCCGTTTCTTACTCGCGTGCTTGTGATTTGCCGTCACCCAAACATGCCGTCGATGTCCGCCTCGTCACATTGCCGATCACTGCACACATGAAGCTTCTTGTCGCTGTTATTCATTTATAGCTGGGTTTGCTTCCCCCGTGTGCAGGTGGCAGCACGACGGCATGCTGTGACGATGACCCCGGAGCTGTTGTGCGGTTCATGATTAAACGCAATACTTCTCAGTCATCGTCATAGCCACAAAGCTGCTCTGAAACCTTGGGTGAGTAAGTGACAGTTGAGTTGTGATGACAAGTCTTCGTCTGAGACTTAATCTGGGCCACCCTGGTTTGTGTCAGGAGTGAAGATCAGATGAAGCATCAGGGGTTGGCTGTTTGGTCGTTGTTGGCGTGTCACGTGTGTCAAGTTTAACTCCAGGATCAATCAAGTTGCTCAAAAGCCATCGTCCATCCACGCGAGAACCGGTTCTGGATCTTGAATGCCGTTCCGGCTCCGCATAGTAAATCTTGACGAGTCCTAACGGACAACGGCCGGTTGGCCCAATGGCAAGGCGTCTGACTACGACTGACTACAATCGGTGAAATCAGGAGATTCTGGGTTCGACCCCCAGGCTGGTCAAGTTACATTTTTGCGCCGGGGATAGATGTACGTACGTATGCCGGAAAAGTGCCTGACTGACGGACAGGCATGCTGCTTAGGGCACAATCTCGTTTCTGGAGAAACCAAGGATGCCTGCCCCCCCACCCACATAGTTGGTTTGCTCCTTGTGGGCCGGAGCACGGTTCGTTGGCTGTTTGTCGGGCGGACAGGAAAGCCTGCGCTCACCAGATCTTTGATGTGAGCCGGTGGGGATGGCTCAGGGCATGTGTGTGGTGGACATCAGACGGGCCAAAAGCTTGACAGGTATCAAGCACCAGGTCAAGTTTTGGTTCTACAAACCTCGTTCGTCGGACGGCAATTGGACAATCGCATAGGGTTGTTTCGAGCCATTGTCCACCACTCGATAACTAATCAGAAGCCTAAACAGGCAGATTTCATTGGGTTAAGAATCTGGAGAATGGCGGCGCAAAGTAGGGGATGCTCGTCTCCAGTCCGCACCGAAGGTACGCATGCAAGACGGCTCTTCTCAAGGCCGCTCTGGTACACGACGATGGTCTGTAGACGACCCCCGTTGGCTCCGCCGGTGATGCCCGAGAACAACAACCCCAATCGGCAGCTCGGCCTGTCTTGTGGGAGCGCTCGCTTGGCGGCCAACTTGGGTGAAATGTTCCGAGAGATCGACGGTGTTATAGTATCATTATTCATTGTTTACCTGTGCGGCGTTCATTGCTACCGCCTCGCCTTGTAGATGTACCTACCTACCTTGGTACTTCGACAATGTTCCGAGATCGCAGCAGCTGGCGGCCTTTGTGGTTTCGGCAAGTGTAGGTATTCATTCACCCCTCAGTACGAGTGCCTTCGCCGACGGGGCAGTTAGGCTTTCATAATCTACGAACCAGGCACAACGGTGCACTACAGTCTGGCCAAGGCGATCAGTAACAGATGCATAAAGTAAAAACAAACTCTCATAACCGGCATGTGGAACTGTTCAGAGAGCTCTGCCCCTTGACAGCACCCAATCTCCTGGCCACGGCTGACTCGTATTGGGACCGGGATAAGGGTTTCAACCGGGACTCGGGTCTCATGGTACCCTCCCCACACAATCTCGAATTCCCGTACGTAGTATCCGTACACCAAATTGATCACGACACACGTCAATGGTGTTGTGGACGTGCCAGGTTGCTCCCTCCGAAGACTGGGGCGTAACCTCTGGCCCCTAATCCCGCGGCGGCCGAGCCTTCGGTTCCAACTGGTTGGCCCCTTGAAGTCCCAGGATCCTTGGAGCAAGTGAAGTGTTCAAGGATGTCGGTCAATACCAAATGACGGCAGAAAGCATGCTCCCATAGGAAATTGCTTCCTTTGCCATCAGTCTAGTCCCCCGTCCCCTCCTCCACAGCCACCCAAAACTCTTCCACGTCCTGAACCGACCGCATCTCGAAATCGCAAAAAGCCCCCTCAATTGGAGTCTTTGAACGCGCACGCGAGGTATTCAAATCAGAATCCATGTTCAGAAGGAGGTTGGCAGCGTCGTTCCTCTGCTAGAAAAAGCAATCAACAAGCCGATCCTCGACGCGATTGTGCGTCGACCCGAGGAGCCGCCGAAGATGTCGCCAAGACCTCGGCGCCGAATCATCCCAACTCCAGCACTCATCATATCCTACCTGGCAGTGCAGTCTCAGGCTGTTTTCGTCAACGACTTCTCTGCGTATCCGGTCAACGCAAGATCATGCTTGGACGCGGCCGCTGCCGCGTCCGGCTGCACCGGCAACACAGTCACGGAGATGAACACATGTCTATGCGGAAACGGCGGCGACTTCGTGCTGTCGACCGCGAGATGCGTCGATAAGCATGCGAAAGAACAGCTCAGCGCTGTGTATGCAATGCTTCTGACCTCCTGTACGGACTCGAGGACACCGCTGGGCGTTTCTCAGGCACAGTTCCTGGAACCCGAAGATGATATCGATGAGACACCGACGACATTTGCGACGTCAATCACGAGAGTGGCATCGTCAACACGAGCACCGGGAGCAATAACGTCAACGTCTATGACGACGTACCAGAGCGTGGCACCGGGCGGAGTAACGGTGACGATAACGAGAGGAATCGAGGCGGCTCCGACCGGGACGGGCAGCGGGAAGCAAGACGGAGACAACGACAAGTCGGATTCCGATGATAAAATCAGCCGGCCGGCCCTGGCAGCCGCAATTGCTGGATCGGTCGCTCTCCTGTTGGCGGCGCTTGCGTTCCTCTGCTACCGGCGACGGAAACAGCGCAGGGAAAAGAATGGGCGGGACGGCCATGGTGGCAAGTTTGCGGCGTTATCCAGTGCGACGAGTCTCACGACAATGACTGGCTCATCGCCTCCCGGTCAGCCGACGACAGCATACAACGGAGCGAACGGCCTTAGACCTGATACTGGTCACACGGTGCAGGTGGCAACGGGAACCACTGCATGGAGTCACCAACAGCAACAATATGCACCAGAGAGCCCTCAACATTGGCAAAACCAGTACGGCCAGCATACGGGCAATTGGCCGTCGCCCGTCACCAACACTGACGGAACTATGGGGACATGGATGCTCTCGCCCGCCTCTACATACCCCCCGAATGCAACAAGGGGGCCCGACTCACCATCAGTACAGAACGCGAGTTGGAACGCGCATGAGGTTCCGGCGGGCGTTCCAGCTCCTCACCCTTCGAGAAACACATACACTCCCGTCTTTGAACTCCCCGGAGACGAAACTCAGGCCGTCGAGGCTGACTCGACGCCCGTCGGTTCTGCACAACCAGCACGACCGCCCTCACGATCGATTCAATCCACACCAGTACACATGTCCGCACGGCCGGCACCCACCCATCCCGAAATGTCCAGGCAGATCGATGATGCACTGCAAATATCACAAGTGGAATTACCGCCGCCACGTTACTCAGGACCGTCATCAGGACTCGAATGGGCCGCTGACGAAAAGAAACTCGGCTAGATGAGGAGGTCTCTGGCGACACAGCTCTTCAGCATAATGATATTTTATAAATTTTGTAATATTACCTACCTACCAGTATGGAGATACTCGGGACATCATTGCCGACATGATGCAAAAAGTTTTCAATTCAATTCAGGCTTACTACCTACCCTCTTACACGTACAGTGAGATCCGTAATTAGTCATCACTTGTTATTAACTCATCTATGAAAAAGAGGTAAGAAAAAGAGAATAAAAAAACCGACTACCGGTGCACAACACCAACTTAACTTGCTGCAGATTGCGTAAGTAAAAAAGGAACAAGTACAAAAACCAAAAGTTTTGTCCCTAGCAAGGCTCGAACTTGCGACCTTTGGATGTCCCGACCTGGAGGCAGGGTCATATTGATGGAATATGAGACCAACGCTCTACCGACTGAGCCATAGAGACTACGAAAGACCTTGGTGGCCAATTGTTGACAAATCAGCTCATCATGATCCTCAAGAAGGGTAGCGTGTGGAGTGGCTACCACTTCTATTCAGGCTAACGGCAAGGGGCAAAGCGGCTACTCCATACAGCCTAGCGTTTTAGTATAACATCCCTCTCCAGTAATTCGGTTCGTGTTCAGAGACTGGGGTTTAATAACACTATCGGATCACTCGTAATAGCGGTGACTAGCCCAATGAAAGATAGTTACTAGAACATGTGTTGTTTCGAACCTTGGCGCGCTGTATGTCGTCTTGGGTTTTTTTCCGGAGGACTCTGAGACATCAACAAAAACCCAGCTTGGAAATTTGCCTTCGCTTTCACCAAGAGGCTGTTCCTGGGTCTTGCCCAAGACCGCCCGCGAGTGTTGTTGCATTCGTAAATGTGTCCTATCGAGCAAGACTGGGCCATGGCCCAATGGCGAAGAACGCAGACAGACGGACCCCAAGGCTTCGAACTATTAGTGTAGAAGCTGAACGGCATCCTTTTTGTCAACGTAGAGGCCTCTTGTCTGCCTTATCCAGCCACAACAACATGCGGGCGTCGTATCAGAACGCGCGTCCCGACGACGCTAGCCAATGGTTCATAGGAGCTCTTGTGGCTTAATCCTGCAGCTGAAATGCGGGAATGGGGCGCAGGATGCCTCCTCTGGCTCGAAGGCGGTGCTCGCTAACCACGCTGACCACAGGTCGGTGTGTCAAGTTCATATCATAGCCCGATAGCACGACCAGACGTCAGCGGGGTCGGGTACATGGTTTTCTCATTCAACTATAAGTCATCGCCAACGAACGGGTGCGCTGCCGAGCGCATCAGCAAAGCGTGGGGCCCTTTAAGGACCACCGTTAAATTCCCATCAAAACCCGGAGAAACCGCTCCCTCAGGACAATGGTGGGCTTCTCCTCCGCGGCGTTGACGTCGAACTGCGATGACATCTCCCATCGCGCCGTCTCAACATCAGCCGAGCTAGACAGCCTGCTCAAAGCCATCGATCCCGGGAGCATTGCAGCCCAGCACTTGATCTCCTTCTCAGCAAAGATCGAGCAGTTCAGAGACACTACGGAACGGCTCCGGAGATGTCTGGATAACGCATCGGCTGTCTCGCCCAGCCTGCGGAATGCCCTGGCCATCTCTGTTCAACCATGCGCAGATGCAGCGGCAGCTGTAAGCAAGCAGATCCGTAGACTCGACCCGGGCAACGTGGCGGGCCTCAATCCAGATGTGATCTTGCAATATGAGAGCTACCACGTAGCAAACACTCGCCTCTTCACAGAGTACATTCAGGTGATCCAAATGTGAGTTTCCGAAAGCAATTAGCCTCGCGTATCAATTACTAGTCGCTAAAGTTCCCGAGGCCCACGATCGCCCAGCAGGACTCACAGCTTTCAGCGCCGGATGGCCATCGATTGCTGGAGACGGCTGTAGGAGCATCACAGATCGTTCTGACTCGCAGCGACATTCTCCATGTCGTGGAGGAATCTGGCAGCCTGGTTATTTCCAACGCAGCAACCACAAGGGACCCCGAGGGCATCCCCGCGGATGCTAAAACACCAGACTATGCACCATCAAAAACAAG